TAAACTGCTCATGACTTACGAAAAAGAATAGGACTCAGTGTCTATAGAGAAATTTGGATGGACGCTCGTAATAGGTTGGATCTATACGTCATAATCGTGACGTGAAATAGTATTATCGCCATAACCGACAAATTACACTCAGACATCTAGTTAGCAGTCATCAAAAGCACCTTTGTTAACATTAATCTGACAGGTAAGTAAATTGGGGGGCGTTCAAATATGACACACCTGTACAAGTATTTAAGGGGTCAATACGTCCTACCTTTCTGAACACGAAAACCCTACTGAAGAAGTTCACTGTTAACATAATTTAAATCCAGTTACCTCTAGGCGAAATATATCTACAAACGTGATCGTTTTTCCGCTCCCAAAATAACAAAAATTGCAAGCAATCTTTACGTTCTGGCCTATAGAAAATAGGATGCAAGATCTGAATATGTTAAAATGCAACGACGCAGTATTGCACCCCTTTCAGGAAATATCTAGTCCTAATCGTTAAATCATTTAACTAATTAAAAATCTATTCACTTTTACTAGATTCGAAATAAAGTTCGTCCTTAAAAGCGACGAGCACGCCTTCCAAATGGTCGAGTTGAGATCTTTAAGAAAAATAATTAAGCTTGGCTCTATTAACGGGACAGTTAAAATGGGTTGGGCCTTTCATCTGCGACCAAGCCTGGACCACCCGTCCAGACCGACTGCACTTTATGGCTAGACGTTAGCGCCTTTTTAACGTTCTTTTTCTATGGATTGTTCTTTTACTGTGGTGTTGTTGTTTATATGATCAGATTGCGTAGCCTCCTCGTGTTCAGCGCGCCTGCTTTTGCACGTACATTGAGAACAACAGCAACGGTTATTGGCTGGTTCCGACGATCGTATATGGTCGTAACTCAATTCCGTCGTGAGGCGTTAGTCAATACGTACAATCTTTTTTGTATCTAAAATTATTCAGATACACAACTAAGCGTTCACATCCCCCCACTCACTATACCCTTGTGCTTTTCCACGAACAAACGTACGATTTTGTGACCGTTATCAGCAGCGGGTATCAGACAGCATTTGAGACACAGATGCTACACTGAAACGTGTTGGTCATAGCGTTAATGCGAGTGGTTGGCGTTGGACCCTTTGCGAGGGTCTTGTTGTAGCGCCACCTTCCTACTAGCCCAGTCGGCACTGATTTTATGATGATATTGTTGGCGATCGTTATTCTCATTGGGGCTTAAATAAGTTCTGATACCCCCTGTTACTGAGACTGTTGTCACGATTGTTTTGACCGGCTAACAGTAAATCAGCGACCATTGGCCGTAGTTCTTATGCTATCACGTTCTTCTGCACATCTTCTGTCTTTCCCCCAAATCCCCATGATATATATATATATATATATATATATATATATATATATATATATGAGCTTTAGTCACAGCCCTTCTGTCTTTTACGTTTTGCGCATTGAATGATTTTTCGCAAAAACGAAATCGAGGACTGCTGTTGACTGCGAGCAACCGTTCTTGTTCCGACTTCATTTTATCGGGCTATACTTTCAGCATTGTTATTGCTGGACTTCATTGCCACGTCATTGCTTAAATTCAGCCATTTAAAATCGCTGTCCAACGGTAATATTCGACCAACTTCCTGATGCCGCGGCTCATTCCGCCCAACTTAACTGCGAGGTGCCATCTTGTTATCACTGCTAACCTCACTGTCTTGTGTTCGATAGATATGCCGGCCGGTATGCAACGATGTTATACATTGACCATAGTGCTCAGATAGGTTGTGATAATCCGCACCAACGCCGGCATTTACTACGCACTGCGGTTCTTAATCACTGTCGTCTGAATTGTGTGCGTAATTAGCGTCCCATTAGAAAAAAAAAAAACTGGAATATCGCTTAGCGCTTATCGGTTTGTTGTTTTTACTAGCGCCGGGGCAGCTTATCCGCAAAAATTTTATGATCGTTTGCTACGATCTGCTATGCTACAAACTCATTGTTTGTTTTTCATGCAAACGTGAGAAACCTATTTATCTGGGCGGTCAAAAACATGCAGACCCTGTTATCACTTTGATATTTGAAAGACAACTGAATAAAAGAAATGCCGAAATGATGCAATATTATAGTAAAAGTAACGGTTATCGTTATCACCACGCTTCATTTGTCATGTACGTTCGCTTGGCAGTTTCAAATGAGAGCACATCAAAATGGCAGTCTTGAAAACGGTGAACGTGCTCTTGCGGAAAGTATTGGCGAATCTCTATTCAATACATTGATGTTAGAACCTTGGCCTAGTCCAATGACCACTAGAAAGAATAAATAGTATTTAGGTAGTCTCATGTTCAGCACGTATTCAGTGATGGGATTTCGTACCTACTGAAAGGCTGGTGTTCCTCAACGGTACAGGTTTCTCACATCGCTCAAAGGTATGCATTCATTCCTTTATAGGCCAGCCGCCAATATGCTTGGTTGACGCAATGGCTTTTACCAGCATCGAGGGTAGACCCCATTAACAATAATTGAAAAATGTGATCTAATTCATACGAATGACCAATCATCTCCCCACCTATTCGGTTCTACCGTGTTCATTCTTAATTCGTTCAGCTTAACTGAAGTAGAAGCCATCTCAAACTCCGGAGGAATCGCGAAGTACAGAGACAAGACATGCAACATAAAATGATAAACGTTGATTATTTAATCAAAAAATGTTGAAATAATTTAGCTCGTTTACACTATTCTCTGTAGAAACAATCAGCGATTAGATGCGTTTTTAAACAATAATAGGAATAATCATAACGTATCATCCATGATCATACGTGTGGTGGCCTTTTAGTTAGCGTGAACTGTAAATCACTGTCGCTTGCAAGTCTCCCGAAGAAAAAAAAATTTCCAGCAGCAAAACAATCAGGACTAAACAGAAGGCTTCTAGGCGCTTAGAAACACTGAGCGACAAAGCTTCTATCTATAAAACCATGTTCAAATAAGCACAACTGTGAATAGAAAACAACTGACGTCACTCAACGTACGTTGTAGTAAAAATTCGCGGGTACGCGTCTTAGCGAGATGAAATGGAAGAAGACGACCATGTCAATTTTAGGAATTGAACGTAAGCCCAACGATTCGCGTAGACAGACTTCGGTCTTCATCTCCACTCGTTCTTTGGACTTTGCTGGATGGAACTGGGAACACCCCTTATTTGCCGATTTAAACTGAGACAATAAAACATTCATAGTCTAAGTGAATACATCAGGTACTAGTTCCTTATTACTCACTAGTGGTCTCGAGTAGGTAAAGCGGTGATCATCAACACCAATAGAAATCGATCGAACGGCCTTTTTGTTTATATCCAAGAATTTCGCTCCATGGATACCCCATGATGTAGACAAGCCACTGATCCTACCTAGGACGTGTTGCTAACTTAAATGACATAGTACTGTCAACGGACAACTTATATACCAGTTACTAATTGCCTAAAAGGAAGCACTAGAGGTGTTAAGGAGGGTTCAACCGACTGCCGTTACTGTACGGTAGGGACCTACTACCATCACGAAAGGGTGTACTTGTTCTGCGTTGGTAACTCATCAAGTAGCCTGATTGGCACACCGCGTTCACCTACGCGTTCCTGAACGAATTAGTTTGACTTCAGTAAGTTTTAGGGCGATAAGCTCCATGTATGCTTATACCTTCTAGCGTAACTAGTCTTGCAATATTAACGAAATGAATGTTCAATGATCTTAACGACTTTATCGCAACAGCTTCAGACAAAGCGAGCAGTTTCAGACTAGTGAAACTACGTGCAGAACTACCCAGATGTGCCTTTCCTAGAAATGAAAGCGCTATAATTACAAAGCAGCTGCCACCGTCAGCGACAAGCGGACTCACTCAGCTTACTACTAAGTTTACAGGTTTCTGCGCACTCAAACAACGGACTCACCGGATGCAATTAACAACGAACGATAGTAATACGAGCATATAATAACCTCATCTTATTACCACCACAAGCTGCAAAACAACGGCGTCTTCTACTCGTAACTAAACGTTTTACTTACAAATATAACGCGTGTACATACTTAGTTCACTTCAGCACTGAAATTCACACGTTATTACATGATGATACGATCAATGAAATAAACTACGACCGACTAATATACCTGGTACCGGCTGGAAATGACCACCTCCATAAGCAAGGTTGGATTCTAGACGTTCGTAGGGCAACATTTGATTACGCTGTCTTGCTGAATTGTTTTGCCTATAATCATCATCCGAAATGATCATCTGAGGATCGTCGTATTCGACTATAGCATATGCTTGTTTATGTTTTGTAACACTAATGGCGTCTGTCTCAGCGGTCGATGGTCTTCGAAATAATTACATTTACTCTGGAGACTATATTAGTAAGCCTCATACATGAAAGGAGAACTATACCGTTTAGCATGAAATCAGGAATCGAATAGACAAAGTCTATGATAGTGCTAGCATACTCTCTGTCCATTCGACTTTTGAAGTTTTCATTGCGAGCAGAACCGAATTCGTAGCGTAACTAGAAGGGACTGTAAAGGACCAACGCAGTGACCCTACATTGTGCTACATAAGTAAGCCATTAATCCTCGACCGTGTATCCGACATGTCGAATGTATATTTCTAGTGTACCGCAAACTATAAAGACCATGCCATTTTACGCTATAGCTGAGCTTTAATTAAGTTCATGAAGTAGTCGTAGCTATGCGTCTCTTTAAATTGAATAGCTCATGTTGTAAGATACTTAGAACAGCAGAGTCAAAAAAATTGCCATCGATCATATTGTAGCTAATCGCGCTTTTCGAGGACAGATGATAACTACACGTAGCCTTTCTCTGAGTAACATAAACTAAATGCTGAAACAATTATTCCAGTATCTGATGCTTCTTCCGATAGCTCATTAACATCATAGAAAAAGCAACGCTATCTGCAATACGTTTTGGCAGCACTACTAAAGCACGTTACTGGCTGATTTCACTGTTGCTTTGCTCTACATCGAGCGATTTTTACCATCTGCCATGGTAAAAATCCGCCAGCCAAGGTCCTCAGCGCTTCCGCTGCTGCCACTCTCGGAATAGCCCTTATCGGCAGTTGCCACATTGCCTCTGTGTCCACTACCGTGAGCTTCACTACGCCATCCATGGCGTTCATTAGCGGCCGCAGTATGACCATCTTCGTGTCCTGCGTGACCGTGTCGGCCATGTTCTTCTTCGCAGCTGTCTCCTTCGTATCCACGGCTATCATCTCCGTGGTTCTGGTGATGGTGCTGCTGCTCGTGGTATGTTGGATAATGCGAGTGGCTCTCATGGTGGTGATAAATCGGTACGTGAACATCCTTATCGGAGCGCAAATGCGGGTGGCTGCGAGAATATAGCGCTACATGCTTCTCGGAGTGACTATGGCCGTGCACTGGGATGGAAACCCTCTTCATCGAATGACTGTAATGCTGTACCGGGACTTCAATAGGTACTTGATGATGTATCGGCATCTCAATGATTTTCGGGCGGGCAACATGCACAGGGTAACGTAGTGGTAAAGGTATCATCGGCCCCCCTCGTAAAATGGCCGCTGCAGCAGCCAACCTGAGCCGTTTCTGAGCTTCCGCTCTATGAAGGACACATGCTACTGTGATGTATGTAGCGGCCGCGACAAGTCCCATATGTAATTGAACCATCTCGGATGCACTGGGCACTTTTTGCTAGATAGCCACTTGATGAGCTGGCCGCATGAACGACTTGCGTTCAAAAGACGCCCGGCACCACTGTCTGTATTATTAAAGTAATCACCTTGTTGCCGGTGGCCGCTAACGTAACGCCCGATATTCCAAATCGACAGAATTCAACTGGCATCACTGCAACTCATCGTTAATCTTTTGCCTGGCTTTTATAGTCGGTCGAATATTACAAGCCCTTTGTTCAGTTACTCTTTTTCTGCAATTCATTTGTTTAATTCGGTAACAAGAAAAAATAGGATGAAAACATAGATGCTCCCTTGAATTCCCGTTATTGCAGGCCCCGCCGAACGCCGCCCTCTCTGCCAGGGCAATTTAGTAAGGCGTTCACTAGTAAAACGCCACCTCGACTGCCATCGCGTCCGCCACAATGATAGCAAGAGCAAAAACGAGAAATAATACTAGTAATGTAATATACGTCGTATCCACACTGTAACTAGAGGCTTATCTCGAAGCTCGAACCTCGAAGCTTTCCGTAAGCGCCCACTAGACTGCATCGGCACCCATAGCATTAACACTGTAATTACCCTTATCACGAACATTATAATTTACAAAACCTATTAGTTTCATCATAGATATCGGATCTAACGGTTGTGTACATTTGAGTTGTTTTACACAAATAATCTTTACAGGTATGTAAATATTAGTCTGTTTAAAAGTAATGAGATATTTGTGCCATCTTAAGATCGCGTTTTTGATCCATGTTTATTTTGACAAAAAGACCAGGGCTTCTGCTATGTACAGATAAAATTTTGTAACAATCTGACGCAAGCTCCAGCTTTCGGAAGAGATCAGGTAAATAGCGAGCATCTGGTGATTTTTCTTAAACGCTTTTTAAAATGAAATTACCGCGTAGATAAATGTTGTAGAGTGCCTATGAAAGTGCCAGACCGTGGGTGAGGTTGAAGTGAACAGGTGGTTCACACGCTTAAAGGAGTTCATTAAAGAGGATACTTGTGCGGAAGGCCTGTGACACCGACCACAGGGAAAGCAACGTGTTCTTTACGGGCTTTCTTCGAGTGCCGGAGAATCGCTTGAACCATGAAACCAAGCCGTTTGGTCACTAAAAAGTTTTCAAAGTATTCGTAAGCTAGTTCGTTTGATACAAAAAAATATTTTATATATAAAAACGTCGTGGATTTTTCATTACTAGCCACACCATACCATTCGTATAGCATTTTTTGCAGAAAAAAAGCTTAGCTCTGCGGTGTATGTTGGCAGGACTCCCGCCTTCATTGAACTTAGCTTCCTACGGTTCTTTCCTGCTCTCAAGATTTAAAAAAAAAGGCCTAAAAGGTAAGTCTTTCGACACATTAGTAGAAATAATAGAAAAATTGCTGACTTAGGTAAGAGCTATCCCGACAATCGAATCTGAGAAGTGTTTTGGGGGCTGGCAAGAGTGGTAAGTAACATGAATACATTGTACACAGCAGAGGCCGCCGCAAAAGGAACAGCTAGAATTTGGGCAATTACATAAGTTCTCGTCAAGCTGAACCAGGTGGCTCGTTCCTTTCGGAGCAGCGGGTTATGACATGTTGCAAAGTTGAGCCAACGGAATATCCGGTGTACTCTGTAAGCTTTCCAGTCGTCCAGTTCGAGTAGATGCGTCATAAGATCAACTTAGCCGTATAGATCCTTTAGGATGCAACATTTCGATGTATGAATATGTAGAATTAAATATTTAATCGAAGAAGTAAATGAACTAGTCGGCTATGTGAATGAACGGAACTATCTCTATAAAACGAAGTGTTTCTAATTTCTACTTAAAACATATTTAATATGCATAATAGAAAGGCATAGTTTTTTTTTTTTCTATAGCGGCGAATCTGCACCTGAATTAAAGACCGCTTCTGGCAACGGCTGTAAACAAACATAAGATGGAAAAGAAAACATCGTTTTTGATTTTCATGGAATGTAAACATTTAAAGTTAACTAAAAAAAAAGGTGTGGAACACCTTTTTTGCTCGTCAACTTTTTTATCGAAAAATATGTTCGCATGCCGGCTTGACTACGTGTACGCATAAGCGGCACTGGGTGTTGACTTTCGATAAGCGCCTCCTAACGTATGCTGTTTCACCGCTGCTACTGCTGCTGTGTCAAGACCTTCTGATTTCCAAAGAGAGAAATTTGGCCGTTAGATTGAACTTGTGTGACGTATTGTAACTTCAGGTCACGTAATGCCATGCTAATTGTGGCCAATGAAGTTAACACCCCCATTTTGTTTGAGACACGCCAACAGTACTGAGCAAAAGAATCTTCAAATTGAAATGGTATTTTTTTTTTTAGCTGTAAGCCAAAATTTCATTAATTATTCTGCTGTTTACCAATATTCTTAGCATTCAGCCTAAGTTAAATAATGTAAAAGCTCTCCGGTTATTCTGTGTAACGATAAGGTAGTTATTGTAGGATAGAAAGTTAAAAACTCGGTTTAATCTATGCGAAAAGATGTGTGCGAGATCTATTTGTACGAAAGTCAATGAGGACACGTTATGTAATAGTGTTCAAGGATTCAGTAATTTTCCTGATAAAATTGGACTATGGAATATTCCTAGATTATGTTGTAATTTATGCTTTAACTAATATTACGAAAACAATAGAAAATAAATTATGCCGGAAAATTCGATTTTGTTGCTTGCTAAAGACCGTGAAGACGCCACAGTCGATGATAGGGCAACAAAAAAAAAAAGAGGCTAAAAGCCCCGCATGTCGTCGCCAACATTTAGATAAAACCACGAACGCAAGACAAAAACCGCCTCTGCTGCGTGTGAATCTTCTTAGGTAAGCAAGGTCTTAGTAATGGTTACGAGTTACCATTACCAGTTCTGAATTTGTACACGATACTCTGGACAGCCCTAAGGGTGTGCAATTCTGAGAATTTATCACTTCGTTGTCAACCTACAGCTTTCAATAAATCTATAAAATCAAGTGCATTTCAGGCGCAACTTTTTAAATAGTAATAAAGTAGTACAATTTAGTTGCGATCGGCTTAACCCCGACAGTTAGATTTGGTTCCGCCGAGACCGTCACGCACTAATTCTAAATCTGTTTCTTATAGTTCCAATTATGATCTTATAGAATCCAATTCGGAACTTTTTTTTTTTTAGTAGATTACGGATTGGCGTGCGGTCCCGAATCAATAGGCCGGCTTTTCCACCCCGCGAAACGAGCTAGGTCCCGAGAGGAAAGGGAAGCGTTTCCGCCTTGTCTGCGAGTCTTAGTCAGTCTGACTGTCAGTAGTACGTTCTTTTCTGTCAAAGGCTCTTTTTCCAGCCTGTGATCGCTGCGCCAGTGTTTTGAAGATGTAACGCACAAGACCTCTTAGCGTGTTCGTCAAAGCCACTTTTACCTCGGATTTCGAAAGTTATTCTAGTGGGCTGCAGCGCCTTGCACTGCATCAGGGTGTGCGCTGCGCGTTGTTTTCTGTTTGGTCTGTGTATGCATAGTAGGTACTCGTTTGAAGGCAGTCCTTAAATGCTGAGAGCATATCCATACCCGCCAGCTTGAGCCCATTTAGCTGACCCACGTGAGAACCGAGTTCGTCAACGGCAGCATCCGAAACAAACCTTTGAACTATGGCTTTCAGTAGCTTTCGTCTGCCTTTTAGGCATATACAAAATCAGCGGCGCACACAACACGAGAGGTGTGATTGTGTAACAAAATATATTGAAAATATAATAGCAAATCAGTACCAATTTTTTATATTACACAATATCTATCTAAGCGCGCCAGCCAAATAGGGTTATTACCTCTCACGTGTGCAGAAAGTGTACGAGGGTGATAGATTGCATAAGAAATATCAATGATCACAAAAAGTTAGCTCTATTAGACAAACAATCAAAAAGCTGCGTATCAATTTATTTATGCTTTTGTCAAATAAAACTATATATAATATACTGTAAAATATAGAGGTATGCAGTTAGGCAATATATATGACGAAGTATAATGATTCTTAAATGTGTTGACAATGCCGGTAACTATTTGTATTTGAAATGCGGATTAATCGATATAGCGCATAGACGAGACGTGTGTGCAAATGAGTACTAACGCTTCGGATACTCAGGTGAGGTCATCGTGGGACGACGAAATCTTCGACTAAAAATGTAAACCATTATTCCTGCCTCTGCCGTAGTTGCGGTAAACGATGAATTCTACTTTCTATCAAAATGTAGGTAATTTATCCTATTCTATAACAATGACTGTGGATTACGACTATTGTACTAGTAACACAATGAATCCGCACAACGTTAGTGCCATACACGATCAGCATCGTAATGCTCTTTGTCGGAGTTTAGTACAGCCAGCCACTTCTCCGAAGAGCTACAGCGGTGGGCTACACTGAGTGCAGAGGCACTTTGACGATGTGGCACGTACACGGCGTAGTGTATGGGTATTGGCATCATCGACTCTCTGGCCAAAACGACGGCGCGTGCGGTCGCCGCCGCTTTCAGCAGCTTTTCCCGTGGGCTGATTCGACCCAACTATAGATCGCGGCTACGAAGACGGCAGAGGTGAAGCAATTGTTAACGAAGCATCGCATTTTGCTGGCGACCGCCTGTGTGGAACGGCGACTTCAACCTTGCTCTTCTCGGGGCTTGCACACGGGTGTTCACCGAGTCACTCATTCCTACCAGCTCGTTGAAGTGTCTGGCTTTCCTATGATCGCGATATTCTTTTGTGCTTTTGCGGCAGCATGCTCTACCTCTGCACTATATTAGTACCGCCCTTGTTGTCAGTTTGTATCAAAATTAAACTGCCCTCAGTGTTTATTTATCTTGGGGCATTCACTAAAACAGGTGGCCTGCCCCTATTGTGATGGTAACGCGGCGAATTACTCGCGAATTAAGATACCTTCCTTGATGGGATGGGCGGACGCAGCTAGTTACAAGTTAGTGACGTTATTGTTCTTACGTGTCGTTGTCGCCTCACATGGCCTTATAGCTGTCTCTACAATTGTGGCAGTATAATGGCATTTGTGTGTATGACGAGCGAATGGCCATAATAAAATTATATTTTTGGCCTACTACACATCGTAGCCTATTTGCCGTCTATGCGTTTACTTGCATATTTATAACAATGGCGTGCGTGTACTGCAATAGATATAAAAATGTGGAATCAGCGAATTTCATCACCTTAAAAATATGCTAAAAAAAATTATTTCCAGGCGTTTTCCAGGGATTATTGGCTACCCTACGTTTTGCTAGGAAAACACATCGTCATTTAAATGGAATGCCGTATTTATGCTGATAGAAGTATTGGGACTCTTTAGCTTTCTACTCGGACTTTTAGCAGGACAATTATCTGTAGCTGACAACGATTGACAAAATACAGCGCTCAACGATCGTGACCTATGTTTGCTCCGTTCTGGCTGGTCTTCAAGTGAGGGTCCTTGAAACTGGTAGAAATCTGTGTCGCGTACCCTTCGCTAGAATACCCTGTATAGAATTGATTAGAGTTAGCCCGATTTGGCCCATGACAAACAGCGGCGTAAAACGCGCAAACCTGCCTTCTGCTCGTACGAAGCCTTAATTTTTCTGCCCTAAAAGTTGAGCCTAGGTGCTATATGTGTTTCCCACACCTAATCTTTACACGGGATGGTGATCAACAAAGATTGGTTATTTTCTTTTAGTTTAAGTGATGCTTTTTCAGGATAAATACAACTAAATTAGGTCCGGGGATGAATTGCTTGAACAGAGGTGCTCGGCTTACTATCAACAACTCGTACACAATAGGGGATAAAATTTCTGCTCTGTAAGTGCTATGCGAAAGCTAACACGAAACAGAATCCAAAATTTGTATGGTATTATCAAAAAGCATGAGCCCATGCTGGCCCGGAGGGAGAGCCTAACTGAGTTCCTACATATGTTAGAATTTGTATCTATCTTCCTTGTATTTTTGAAAAAAAAAAATGCTAAACTTCACAATAACATATAAAAAAATTAAATAACACATTGATCGTTGGTCGTCTCTATATCATACGTCACTCGTCGTTTTCACAGTGGCCATTATGCTTAACGATTGCATTCGTCTATCCAACGAAGCCCCTTCATTGAAGTAAACAAAAAAGTACTGAGGACTACTAATATTTCATAAGGACCAGAAATTGCATTTTCGGCGTCCATAAACCATTTATTTATTTACACAGTGGACTTTGTGGAAACCTGAACGAGATACACAACACGAGGTTATATCGCATTAACTATAAGTCACTCGTGGCAAGTGGTAATCCTCTACAGTAGCAACGTTAACAAAAAAAGCAATATATTTTCACTTGTATCTATATAACCACATCACAGTCACAGACTGCATAAAAAACACAAGTATTTACACTTAAAAGCATGGACTTGAACAGTATTGACACCTTTTCATGTCAGATTTGTATTGCACGCGCACACAGAGAGACATAACCGGCCGCATTCGGAGAACAATTAACATGGGTAGGCAAGCCTCACTTGCTTCACCTAGCGCCTGACTAGCACATATGCATCAATGCATATGTCTAAGCTTCTGCAGTATGTCTGAGGCAGTTAGAATTGCTGCTGTCATCAGCCATGTACAATGTCGTTTATTCCATGGCCATTTTCATATCCTCCAAAACTGTTATGGTTTTCGAGCTGAACCGCGTGTCCTTCGTGGCCTCCGTGAGCAAGCTCGATATGTTCCCCATATTCACTACCACCATGCTCGTGCCATCCGTGGCCACCTTCAGTAGCAATAGCTGCGTGTCCGATGTGACCTCCATGGCCGTGCCATTCATGGCTTCCATCACCAATCTCAGCGTGTTCACCTTCGTAACCGCCTTTGTGATGATGATGGTTGTGGTGGGTCTCATGGATGTGGTGCGTCTGGTGATGATTGTAGTGATGAACCGGCACGTGAACGGCTTTCTCCGAATACGAATGGCTATGGGAATGCACAGGGACGGGAACAGGAACGTGCTTTTCAGAATGGCTATGGCTATGCACCGGAATTGGGATCTTTTTCACCGAATGGGTGTGATGGTGTACAGGGACTTTTACTGGCACTGGATGGTGTACAGGCACCTTCACGACTTTGGGATGAGGTACATGTACCGGGTAGCGTATCGGTATCGGAATTGTTGGTCCTCCTCGGATAATCGCGGCGGCCGCTGCAAGCTTCAACAGTTTTCCACCTTCGGCCACCTGTACCCAGCCGATAGCTGCTAGGACTCCTATGAAAAGCAGTTTCATTTCTATGGAACGCTTCATCCTCTCTGTTTCTCACAGGGTCCTCTCTGTGCTCGTTCAAGTCAGCTGCGGTGACGATCTACGGATATACTACCGCCGTCGTCAAATAATCATTACACTGCACGCACCCCAGAACGATTTCGTCTTGGTCGATGTCAGATATATAAGGTTTGCTATCTAGGCGCCCTCCGCAGCAGTCGTACCGCTTGTTTGCCAAATCATTTTTATAAGCCCGTCTCTCTCCCCACTATTTGTGTCGTGTGTCGGCATCGCGCCGCTGGAATTTAATACCACGTCAAATGGAAAAAACAAAGCAAAAATAGGCCTTATTAAAGGGAAAGGACTGCGTGGTGGTGACCTTAATTTGTAACACCTCCAATCGTTATTTAGTGAGATTAATCTTTTGTTTATATAAACGTAGCTACACCAAACAGCAATTGTAAATATAATCGTTGTAAGTGAAGCTAACCCCAAATTATGGGTTATTCAGAATGATTTACTATTTTCAAGATAGCTGATGTGCAGGATGATTTTATCAGAATTGGTCAGGAGCGTAAAGTAGAATGAAAACATTAATTATGTAAGATACGGTGTGGGAAAGAGTCACGTAAGATACATTCTCTTTGCTGGGTCACGCATGCTATTGTACATAGTATAGAAAAGGACATCAAGGAATCACATTCGTATGCGGCCTTTGCCTTAAAAAATAATGATAGCAGCTTGGTCCGCTAAGAATGCACTACAAAAATACATAATATGTTTCTATACTTTCATAGGACGACAAGAGACGGACATAGCGCAAGATTAGTAAAATTAGAGTCTAAATGGTGACCAGCTTGAATGATTATGGTTCATTTTTCCAAGCAAAGCTTAGATGAATGCCTAAACATGCATATCTTAAGCAGCTAATATAAAAGTTCTGACAGGCAGGCACTGTCCTTTCAGGCCACACAAAACAACTGCCCTCCTATACTGCTATCGACGTAATCTCTTGCTACATTGAGTACGATCAGACACGTGTATTACTCTGGTTAAATAATACAAACATATCATTGAACAGGTGGTCCAGACCTCTGATTCATCGGGGCTGTGGTAAATGATAGGTTGAATTGAAATTTTATACATCTACGGTGAATGCAATAACTGCCAGTAGGGCAATTTGAGGTTTAAATGTGTAGGTCTGTGTCAAAAACTTTTTAGAAAGCCATTTTTAAAAACTTAATTTAAAAATATCATTATAAAAACAGTGAAACTCCAGCAAAGCTTACATCATTCTTTGTTGTGTGAAGTGTCAAACTCATCAGAGTCGAACGGCGTTCGGGAACGGTAGCGGACAACATCGATGAACCTCGTTTCACAGGACTTCAGTACAGATTAAGTTACAGTTAAAAGGGTCCAGGCCTGTCGAGCCAATTTATCAGTAGTGGATCTCTAGGGTGAAAACGATCTATAAATGAGAAGACTCTATTTATAATTGATTGAGTTAGCTCCAGGATAGCTTTCCGTAGCAGATTATAAAAGCGGCCTTTGGGAAACGGATGCGGCAAGAATCGTATAGGCTACATGCGGGAAAGTGAATATGACCGGATGAGAGTTTTACTAATTATTTCGAAAAGATGTTTTATCGAAAATCCCAGTCGTATCATATCACAAATATGTGACGCCATTTTTAAAGTTCTCATTAGACGCTTTAAATACTGTAACGTAAGTGTTTTCGTATCGTTAACGAATGATGATGGGTCGTACTCACGGAACTAGGTTGCTAATCCTAAGCGTGATCTAGCATTTGGTCCACCTCGCTATTCGCGCTACTTCACGTTAGCTTCAATTGTATCTGCATTGAGGTATTGATTGAATAGTAACGACATTAATAGATAATACGAAATTTTACAAATCACTACTTAGAAGGCATAGATCAGAGAAGAATATCGACGATACTGAATTCCAATTGAAGAAGAAAGGATTCGAGGAAGCTTCCCAGCAAACAAATTCGACGACTTTCGTTTAACGGGTCCAAATTTGAAGGGTTTCAGAATTACTGAAACCGTTCAAAAGGCTATTTTTGATACGTCTGGATCTTTTGTATAGAAATTAATGACCGTTTTAAAAAGGAGTATTATTATTATTATTATGGCTCGACGAAATAAGCTTAAACGGTTAGCGTTTTTAGGTCTTAAACGCCTCTTTACCCTTATAAACCTTAATTGCGCTGGAATTCCTTGTAGGCACTGTATTTGAGCGAGACCTATAAATATCACTTGAGGGACAATTCCTGTTAAAAAAAAATGCTTTGTAGATCAAAAAGAGGAATTTGAGCAAAAATGACTAGGTAGTAATTTGTGTCTCGAGTTGCGTCTCACGGTGGCTATCTTGAATAAGCATGACCGTCATGGTGGGACTTCATAGACATAGAAAAAATTACTAAAATATCTCTTTTGGTTTAAACGCAATTTTTTGGAAGTTTATTTAGAGTTGAATAATTTTTAGAAACGTTGCCTGTACATAGCTTACTGTTGAAATATCTTTGCACCACCCACAATCCACCCTTGGACGCTACGCCACACATGACACAATAGTAAAACTAGAACTGACAAAAACTACATGAGGAAACCCTATGCGACCTAATACCTCGGTCACAGCCTTTTTCCACCGTAATTTTATGAGCGGAACATCGCTTGAATGCGTCATATTTGTTGTTTCTCTATTAAGTTTGCTTTATATTTTGCTTGCAGTATTTAAGGGATTATCGAAAATTTACGCTCCCGTTCTATTATTAGTCCAGATGTTAGAAGCGTTCATTTATCGAACAATGACTGATGTTATATTTCCACATTCTACGCTCAATGGTAGAATGCGTAAATTGGTAAACGACACAAATTTAGAGCAATTACAATGATCAGTAATGTTTATGTGTTCATGTAAATGGGGCAAAATGGAAGAATAACATGCTGAAATAAAGTGAAATAAAACAAAAGCACGTTCCTGCTATTTGTTGTCAAAACATTGAGAAAAATTGCGGGAGGATCATTTTTACCTAAATTTTATGTGATTAAACACCTTAATATGCATTAGTATAGTTACATATTGCATATATATATATATATATATATATATATAAGCGGGCCAAAAAAGGAATAATACTTGCTAAATATAGTAAGCAGGTTGGACGTGGTGGCAGCGTTAGTATAATAACAAATCGTGGAACATAAGAATAACACAGTTACATATATATATGTGTGTGTAAACGAAACACTTGCACGGACTTTCGCAAAGACAACACAGACGGACAGTCTTGGTATTTAATTTGACTCGACATGTTTATTATTAAAACTCGAGAAAAACACATAAATACAAAATTCTTACGTACACATACATATTTACACGGTATGTAGGACATAAGCGTGACATTCATACGTTGACTGATTCGGATGAACGTTACTTAATCTTAATTGTAATACATACATTTAAAGAGGCTTTGACCTCTGTCGACAACAGAAAAAGGCGCGGCTCACGCAGGTCAAGTGCCATTCCGAACAGTATTTACAGCAGGTCTAGGTAGGAGCACCTGATGAAAACTGCGATAGAAAGTCGAAGGGGATACGAAGAAGAAGGAGCGGATATAGGTGCGCGTAGCGAAAAGATCGGTTTTGAAAAATTTCAAAGGAACATGCGATTGTGCTTTATGTGTGTATTATATGACTGCTCACTATGGTTGCCACATTTGTTGGCGGTAATCCCAATATGTGTGTTTTGATGACCATACATTCTACCAGCTGTGCCCTCCGAAGCTGGTATCAGCGATATGCCCGATCTCGTTATGTCCATGTCCACCGTCAAAACCTCCTAACTCCAAACCGTGCCCGCCGTAGTCACCGAAGCTCTCATGACCGTGCCCGTGACCTACTGGCAAGGCAACGGCCTTCTCTAAGTGCGCGTGTGAGTGTACAGGTACGTGTTTCTCCGAAACAGAATGGGTATGAACCGGTACAACCACCTTGTGGACCGAATGACTGTGATGGTGTTCAGGGACCTTTACCGGCACTTTGACAATTTTCGGATGAGGCACATGCACAGGGTAACGAATTGGAATCGGAATTATCGGTCCGCCACGTATGATCGCAGCGGCAGCAGCCAACTTCAATAGCTTCCTGCTTTCAGCATATTGCACCGCACCGATGGCCAACATGATCAACACAAGCGACGCTCGTACGTTGAGCGACATTTTTGCCCGCTGGCGTTACCTTTAATGTTCAAGTTAGTCAGCTAGCAAACTATGCGCGGCCCTTATCTGCGTCAGTCACACTGCAGTATCACTGTGTGTTTGCTCAACCACGTTCAGTAGATTAGATGATGCGGGGCGGCAACGTCCCTGGTCTTAAATATCCCTGTTTGCCCCTCTCTCGCTGCGTGTGGTGCAAGCCCAATTAGGGAAAGCGCCACTATGGACAACGATTCGCGCTGGACAATGCGCTTTTGCTAATCCCTGTTCAAAACTATTAAATTTAGTGAGCCACTAAGAACAGAAAATACATCACAGATTATGTTTTGTCGCCCGGCTCGAACTGTTCAAAATACCGTAATACCTTATTAGACGCGCGAAACCTTTGCTTAGCAGAAAGATAAATAATGCTCCCTGTTACATATAGAGCTAGTACGCATAAATAGTTTAGGTTAGATTGTAAACCATGGGGCTCTTGTGTATGAAAGAAAGCGTTTAGTGAACGTTTGGCTGTTTTTGTTAAGTGCTGTATGAATTTGACGCTAAAACGAAGACTTAAGCTAAAGATAGAACATACTTATGGTGTTAAAATAGAAAGTTCAAATAATTCTCACTGACCGGTAGAGGCTGCTCAATATTTATGGTATGATCTATATAGACCCCGCTGTAATACTATCGTAAAAATATTCAAGGTTACAGCTCACCTTCTTAGAACAAAAAAGTTACACTACATAATTTAAGTAGATAATTAAGAAAAAACAATAAATGCATACCCAAATTTGCGAGAAAACAGGCTCTAATCACGGAAACCGCGCCTGCAAGCTAATCTCTGCCGGGCTCGTAACCGCAAGGTTACGAAGGTATCTATGACAGCTTATGTACCTCGAAGTCGCTTGACAAAGGCTGGTCATGGCTAAATGAAGACAGACACCTTTAGCATTCTAAATATGTGATGTTCATTATGTCTCTTATGACGTTGCACTGAATGAATATCGTGCTTGTCAGATCGATTCGACTATTTATAATTAATAAGTAAATTTAACTAATTCCGCAGAAAAGGCTCAGCGAATCTTGCTAAGTTCAAGCATGATCTCTAGTCTGCTTTTGATACCACAGACACCACATCAGAAAAAAATAATAGTACTTCAAAGTTATGTAAAAAAAATATGAATTCTATGAAAAATTAAGCTGATTTGACCATGAAAGCCGCTTTCTAACATAGATAACGCAAATTTGCGGTACTGATTTAAACCTTTTATAAATCTGAATGAAATTTTTATAGATTGGTTTTGTAGAGTGGTATAGAGGTCTAATAGGTCTAAATTAATGTAAGGTCACAAATTTTCCAGTGGCTTTCATTGCAAAATCAGTTTTCAACGATTGTGAATTAGGGTCAAACACAAAAGTAGAATACATTTTTATCTGGGATTCGGTTTGAATCCCAAAATTGCGTTATGCTTGACTGTTTTTATTATTCAGGTAAATAGTATACTGTATGGCGATCTTCCGAGCTATACTCAACAGTTATTCTACATCTTTGTCAGTATAGACCGCAGGGTTTCATTAATACGTACTACCGTTTTACTATCGCACATACACGAGCACTGCCGTATTGACTCTATCCTTGAACATTTCAAAAAAAGCCTAACGATCTTCCAACCTAAGGAAAGAACTTTAATATAATGTAATAAAAATGTAAATTGTTTATTTGAGGCACAAAAATTAAGTTTTTAATTGCTGTAGGAACTTATCTAGCGCGTTAAGATTGCATAATAGCTTATCTTCCCTCAAATTTCAGAAATGACGCACCATTTTCCGCTACGGTACTTTAGTTTAACTAGAAATAGCTTTTTTTGTTTCGTACCAAGAATAGTGGGCCAGCGTATACCGCTACAATAAACAGCCCATTCAGCTTTGTCCGAATTTGAATATCCCGCCTTATATAACCTGACAGAGTCTTCTCGTTAGATCGATGCACCATAAATCCTAATATCGTCGGCTAGAGCGGCTACATTTCTCGTAAGTGTAGCCCACGTCCTATGTGCCTCTCGATACTACATACTTATACTGCCACAAACCTTGATCTTTTGCCAATATAATAAATTATGTATAAACGATTTACAAATGTAAATACGTCTTAAGCTGAATGAGTCAATGTCTGTTTGTTTTAGCCGTGTCGATAAATGTTAGCTCGAACATATGATGTTCATAGCTTTTATAACGAATAGCTTGTGTTGCAGCAGCTCTTCAATGATCGGCCGTATCGAAATTTATCTCCCTAGGCATGCTAGGTTAAGCTGCGTGCATGATTCCTACAGAGAACATTTTCTAAACGTCTAGCTTTGGCCAGTTAGCGTCGTTGTTAAGTCGTCAACGAAACAATGTCACAATCGTAACAGGTTCACAAGCTCTTTTTTAGCAGTTGTTTGCTGTTACGTGCAACAGACTAGATAGGTGAACGATAAATATACGGTCAGGTCCAATTGCTCTTTTCTAGGATAAGCTGACACTTAGATTTTGCACGAAAAATCAACGGAAGTTTCTGACGGACGGGCAGACCTCGCTGCTTGCATGAGCCTCCGTTTGAGTCGGTCCTATGGATAAATGGCCGCAGTGAAGGCGCTAGCATTATTTCTCGTAACTTCCTTTTTTAACGGTAATAGAATTAGGCAAGGGCAAACTTGTGCTACTCATCATTTGCGCTATCTTCGTCAAGTAGTTCATTTTTCACTTTTAGATACGTCAATTCCAACTAGTTATGAATCCTGCGATATTTATCCATCCACTTTTCGATTATCTAGTCGTACCGTATGAAGGATGCTAATGTTTCGAGTTTCTGACGTTCCTCAACGAAGTCATACTGTCCTTTTGCTGTTTTTGTACTCGATATCAAATGTATTCCACCAAATATCTGGAACGTGTAGGCAGGTTGAAGAACTATTGCTCTCCCTATAGTCAAAATCCTGGTGATGGCCTGTTGTGTAATTTATCAATTAAGACTGTACAGTATTAAAAAATCGAACGTCTGATGTCGATTACTAAATAAAAGCTCTTTTCTTTTTTACCGTATTCCTTATAGTGGACCTCGCCATACAAATGTTAGTAACGCTGAACTTTTATTTAAATAGTCAAATCGCTTGCAAATGCAACACTTAAGATTCTTCTAGCAATAAAAAAATATGAATGTTTATATTCGGTTGGACAAAACCGGTGTTTTATCTAAATTTTTTATACTTTTTTTTTTTTCCCGCTTTTATGTATATAAGTTTACGCTTGATTGTGTATAGAAACGATATCTAGAATAACTAGCTTGGGATTTTATTCAATTGATTTATCCCCTTGGTCATCTTCGTTCGAGAAGCTAACTATTTGGCAGAACGTGGCCGAATAATATTCGTAGCAAATGTATCATAGTTTTTAAAGTCTGCTCGAGGAAGAAAATTCTAAACAGCAGCCTGTCCGTGGTAAGGACACAGGTGGTTACGTCAATGCGGCACAGTGACTTTAATTTTCAATTGGCCGTATATAATTATATGCTATACAATATTTGTTTTATGTACGACGCAGCTTCTTTCTGTTCGTAAAGGTAATTACGCATTGACTAAATTTTTGAAGTTGAAGAACTGAAAGCCATCACAATGGTTTTCAATTCAAAATCGTTGAATGTGGTGGTCAGGTTTGATGTTGGGAGTTAGTTACATTCCTATTGGTACATTGCAAATAAGCGATATCTCATACATCTGCAACAATTGATTCATCAGCTGGCCAAAGAGAAAACTTATATTACTTTCCTATTATTAAATATTGCTCATCCTTAAATAGATGATGAGATCTAGTCAAAGAAAGCTACATGATAATTAATTGTTGTTACCAGCACATCAGGGCTTCACTAGCCATATTTGTACGGGATGGTGTCAGCATCAGTATTTGTAAGTAAGTATATATTATAAGTATATATATTATAAGTAAGTGCCTCGCGTTTTCTAACCCATATAGAGATTAAAACAATACTACAGTTGAATGCCAACAGACTCAGTATACTTAACAAAGCTGAATTATTATCTTTCCTAGGCATAAAAAATAATATACCTTACAATTTTTTATCGTTGTGACGAAAAAGATTTCAGATGGTACAATTGATCTTTATTCGGGACAACATAAATACATGCTTCTATCACAGATAGAATTAAAATACATATATATATACATACATACATACATACATACGGGAATACATACGAGGACCCATATACGTCAGTAGACATGTAGAACATAGCTCACGCGTTTACAATTTATGTCTCGAGTGGAGTATTAGCAAGCGATTAGTCATTTAATAGCTTGTAATATATACATATATCCCAACCTCAGCTTCGTCCTGTCATCTTCAGTCTACCATGCGTGTCCATCATGTTTGATATCGTTAAGACCATGTCCGAAACCACCTCCGGCGACAGCGCCCCCCGATCCAATGTCGTGCCATCCGTGCTGCCAGCCGTGGCCGTCCTCAATCTCGACGTGTCCATCGTGGTGACTCTCGCTGTGATGATGAATCGGCACATGGACGGCCTTCTCGGAATGCGAGTGGCTGTGAATCGGCACCTGCCTCTCGGAGTGACTATGGCTGTGCACTAGGATCGGAATCTTTTTCACTGAATGGGTGTGATGGTGTACAGGGATTTTTACTGGCACTGGATGGTGTACAGGCACCTCGAGAACCTTCGAGTAGGGTATATGTACAGGGTAGCGAATCGGTATGGGGATCGTCGGCCCGCCTCGAAAGATTGCCGCGGCCGCAGCAAGCTTCATGATCATATTTGCATTGGTCAGCTGTACGTAGCCGGTTGCCATGAGCAGCGTAATATATAACAGCAATTTAACATCACGAAATGTTCGAGCCATATCCTTATAGTTTATTAATGGCTCTTTATTGGATTGGTATCCTTCGTTGCGACCGACTCTGCGCACCTCTTGAATACTCCTAAGTGCAGAACACTGCTAGTCCTCGTGTACTGGTCATCCGCCTGGCCTATGTTAAACTATCGCTAGCGACGGCCTTATCTCGACTTGTTGTGGCCTATTCGGCTAACAGGCATCGGTATTCTCGCTGACTGTTACTCGCTACAAATGAATGACTTGTAGCTCCATAAACGATTATATACACCATACCCTTTCTGATATATTCATTATGGTTCACCCATTTGGCCTAAATAGTAAGTCCTGCTTTGTTTACATCTACACTAGTTGTTGCGCTTGCCATAATTGTTATTGTTTTTAATGATCATTGTCACCGTCGTAATATAATGGTCCTATCCGTTATATAATATGACGTTGTTGGCGTTTATTTTGGCGACGTTGTTGCTGATGTGGGTTTTGAGGGTTGCTACGTGCGCCCCGCATGGTAGGGGTTTCTTCATTATCTGTAATACCTGACGCCGGTGGGTCCACTAGCTGAACCCGGTTTCGTTTTTCTCCTAGATAACAACATACATCACAAGCGTCCCGAGGATTATTATATCATGTATAGGCGGAGCTAATACCCGTCGTTTCTGCGACAGCAACGATGCTAATGATAGCAGACGACGAGCGATCGAAATGGCAATAGCCGAAAGGTATATTAAAAAAGACGAATTTCGTCCTTGACAGCAGTAGTGTTTGTATCCAACGGCTTGGTTGGATATCAGTTACAGTTGAATATCGTGATCTATTTTTTTGGCTTGTATTTTCAGTTCAGAGGATGATTGCAAGAAGCAAGAAACAAGCACTGATTCTGCACATATAAGCATGTATCCGTAGTAAAGTTATACAGATCTTGAACGAGCAATGGGCCTTGACCATGTACCCCTATGTGTGGTTGTGCGTTACATTGTCATGAATATCCCAAATCTTACAGGCACGTTCTTAGACAAGTTTGCATTCCAAGTAATACTTCTTTGTAGATCTGTTCGAACTTCGCGTGTCTATTAAATATCGACTTTTTGCTGTTGGTATTGGCTTCTATTACTGTTGAAGCACCTTCTATTTATTTTTCAAACCCCGGACTCTTCTTCTAACTCTGGACTGTTAAAAAATGTCAATCACTTCATCGAAAGTTTCGTAGATTCTATCATTTTTCTTGGCGGGGGAATTTTAAGGATATCGCTAGCAGTCTTGAAATCGTTAAATTTGGCGTTTCTTATCCAAATTTATTGAAATAAATCGCATGCAATTTTTTTGCTACGAAAAAAAACGTCCCATCGTTCCTGATTTTTCTTAAATGCCACAAAAAACTGACCAACAAAAGAGTTCCTTAAGTAGGCTTACAACTATTATCGAAGACCCTTAAAAGATGTGTTTAGGTAGTAACGTGATTTTAAATAAAGAACAAGGACCAAACGGCACAGAAAAAAAGGTACAAGGCGCCAACAATCTGATCAGTACCGCAGTTATTTCAAGCTTTTAGTAAAATGTGATTTCTTTTTGGCATTCTATTTATTTTGATAAAATTCTATCATAATACATTATATTTGTTGAAAGGATACGTGGTGTTTCACAAAACAGTATTCAAATATTTGGATTTTTACCTTAGATGCGCGTACCGTATATATATGCTACAACTTTCTTTTTTGTTTTGATTTTCATTCTATACTAGGATGTTTATTTATTAATTTCGAGGAAAATATAGATCATTTATTGAATAAACATTTGCATTTCAAATAGTTCAACTTTTGATTAGTCCGAATAGGGTTGCGGTACTTTTCAAGCTTCCTGAAATAAGGACCTTAATTGAAATCAAAGTTGAAGCACGACTGGTCGCGCCGCGCGACCAATTGTCCCATCGATATTTTTTGGTCCTCTTTCCTTCTGTGAGCAGCTGAGAAAATGTCAGAGTTAATTTTACATGCATGACATAAAATGCAACACAGGTGCAATATGCTAAAATTTACTTAGTAATATTTGCTAAATCCTGTTAGTAAACTGTCCGAAGCTATTTGGCGGATAAAAAAAAATTTAGTAACTTTTAAGCTTTGTATCAGATGCGGCCTTCTATTTCTATAACCCAATTAAATGAGTCATGATAATGTGTTTAGAAGCAAAGATATCGTTTAGTGCCGAAAATCAGTGCTCGGTGACAAAATTTCCTGAACCTAACTATGCGTTAGATGTACTTGAATGGCATCTTGCCCAACTACTACAAGTAAAAAGGTCATAGAAAGTACACTTTGGCCGTAGATAAGACATGGGTCGGTTTATGTCGCAGAGCAGGGATGAATTAGGTAAAAGAATGGCGTCAAACAATAGAGTGAACGACTCGATGGCAGTGCCGAAGAGGTATGAGTGTAAGCTAATGCCCGTACACGTAACGGATATCAGCGCCATCTTTATTATGCGACATCGCCCGACATAAAACGGTTGTCGAAACTCGAATTCGTGAAAGGCATCATGAACGTGTAACACAGCTATCGACTACGTCTAGTGTCGTTACTTGACGACGACGTACGGCCTGCTCGCCATGCTTCGACTACGGCCTGGATTAAGAAAAACAGTTTTGTGTGGTAGCCCTAGTCGCCATATTCCTCAGATTTACATGTCTGTTTGATTTTAATTACTTTTATGTATTAAGAAGGGCGATAGATGATGAAGCGTAGCGTGTCGTTAATTCCCTCAAGCAGGCCATTCATCACGAGCTTACGGTAGTGCAGATTACGAATATACTGCCGTTGAAAAACTTTGAAGGTACTAGCAACAAAAAAACAATAAAAAAATAGTATATAGAATGCATATTTATATATCGTTTTTTTTTTTTTTTTACCGCATATGCTTTGTTAAGGTTTTTCGACTCGCGAAGTAGCTTCGGAAAAATCTACATTACAACGTTGTTTTTTTTTTATAGTGTCAAAAGCAACCAAAGACGCTGACATATGCGCCATCCTTCTTATATATAGAACTACTACAGTTCACGTCTGGCTGTAACAGGATAGAATGCTAAAAGAATAGAGGGTTTGCCTACCACTGGAATTATTTTTTATTTGCTTTTCAAAACCGCTTTTCCTCCCACTGTGCGATGCTGACGATCTGCCTCGGTGAAACCAACTCGGTGGTTCTGCGAAGCGTCACTACTCACATAGGTTTTTTCTCGTTTATTTTCGCATGGCCTCTAGCCGCGCGTAAAGACCATCGCGGTTAGTTGACCGGCTACGGAACAAACAGACGCACTCAGTCTGATACGATGCCTCTCGTAAAGCACAATTGTCCACACCTACAAGCATGTGCTATTCTTCGATCAGATATATTATCGCAGGACACGAACTAAGTTACTCACTCTAAGTAAATTTCGCACCTGTATTTCTACGCTACGGGCAATCTGTGATGTAATTTCTGTAATTGAGCCTAGAGTGATTTATTTAAAATTAATGTTAAAGAAACGTACTTGTATCAAATATTCTTTTAATATTCCTAATAAATTGTACTAGATTATGCACATGCTGACTTTCGAAGTTACCCCGCTGTTCTAAGACGAAACCATGGAACTATGACAGCTGCTGATGGTAGAATTGTTGTTAATAACAATCTTAATAAACGAAAAACTTTTAACTTACTGTAGGATAGGGCTAGATAGCTTGTCTTCATGTATAGCAGTAAAGCTATAAGAGTACCAAAAGTGTTTCTAAATAGACTAACATTTTGAAGCTTTTATTGATTCGAATCCTTAGGATTATACGGCCTAACGATCGCGCTGTCTAACATTATGATTGATTAGGCTCAAAATATATTATTTTCAAAGCATATGAATGCTATTTGAAAACATCTAATTTACCAAAACGCGTTTGGTCATTTTTATTGGGCGGACAAATGTTCGAAATCCGTTCTTCTTTGCTGTGGCATCCAGCGCTTGCTCCCCACTAGAAGATCTAGTTGGGGTAAATTTTGCTGAACTATATCTAAGATTACTCTGACAGATTTATGAAATATCATAGTAACAATATTCCACGGTGGGCATTCTCCAAGGGTATAATTTAAACCTATGCTGACACAAGTACACACAAAGCGATCCCCATCATATATACAGGTTTACAACGACATCCGCAAAGGCGTCTATATGCACGTACCAATTTTTGACAGCATTATGTACATTATATACATGCGCTTTCACTAAAGGACCGTAAGATCTATTTAAAGAACAGTCGAAACTTTACGAACTTTACATACATAGATTCTGCACAATGGTTTGGTTTTTATATATTGAAAAGTGTCACCGACTAGTAACTTTAACTACGGTCACCGTCGGTGTAAATTAACGAGTGTCTTTTTCGTGTGCTATATTTTACATGATAAAATCAGAACTTACTTTAAAGGCAGCTTACTACAAAATCAGATAGTTGCAAATAGCTCCTTACAACGAAGACACCAGTGCGACCTTTATGGCCACCTTCGAGCTGTACCCCGTGAAGGTGGCGCCGTATCTGATCTGGTTTAATCTTCATTATGTTCGCTCTTTTCGTATATATAGACCCAATCTCTGGTTTCGTTCGAAGAACAGTACAAACAGCAATTCACGCTAACGTGTGTGATATATAGCTATCAATCTTAAAACATATCTTAAATGCGTACTTCACAATATCGAGTACTTCTCGTCGGGCCGTACATTTTTCTACGCATTTCTTCATCGAATTCATCGTCCGGGTCGTATCTGCAATAGTAGACTTCATACACGCTTTCGACCGATGCTGAGGTCGAGAGGCTAGTTCTATGAATCGGCCTTAAAACCGGTGCGCACCCCCTCGGGATGGCTACGGCTATAAACTGGTACAGGAGTCTTCTTTATCGATGATGGTGCACTAGTATTTTTACCACTCTCGAAGCAGGTTCGTGTACTTCGTATCGAATCGGAATCAAAAAAATTGGGCAACCTCGAAGTAGCC